CCATACTTAAAATTGTGAATTATCCCCCAAGCACACACATAAATTCAAGAGGGTAAAAGAAACTCCCTAGTAGGCCATAGGTCGAAGCATTAGCAACTCATGAGGTACTCACACTTCTCCCAAACTTGATTCTTTGTGCGGGCACCCCAAAAAAATTTAAAATTAAAAAATAGTAAAGCTAGGTTGTCTCCCAATAAGCGCTTTATTTAACATCGCGGCACGACGCAAATCACTTTTTGTCTCCACCTTGAGCTTATGAATTGAACCCTAGTTTTGCTTCAAGTTTTCGGTTATGCTCCAAAGGTGGTGGAACAAATCTAACTTCCCCAAGAAAATAATATAGCATTATGCTCTTCTTAGCCTTTGCATGAGGTATGTAATCCGAACTTTCTTGCAAGAAGAATTCCAGAATATAGGCACCTTGTTCCTCATTTCTTAACTCCTCAATTTGCTCGGATGACTCTATTTTCATATCATCATCCAAACACAATGTGGAAAATTCTTGGAGTGTGGAACAATGCACTCAACTACATGAACATTGAAATTTTCAATACCCTCAACACCAATGACACTAGAGTTAACTAAATATGTATCATCAATGTCCTTGGTTGACTCCAATATCTCTTCTATAACATCGACATCTTCAAATTTTAGTTGGTTAGAATGTTGGTGTTCTACTTTGGACTCCTCCACTGGCACCTCAATCTCTGTCTCTAATACACACAGCTTTTGGCTACTATCCATAATATTAACATGTGGAGCATTAAATGTTTCAACTAGTTGACTCACTTGAAACTCCAAGTTACGAATAGTTACATCTTGTCTTTGTATCCGCAATTATGTCTCATTATTTTTTCCACAAGACACCTTAGCATATCCGTGATCTCTTTCAGGTTGTCATCCCTAGCTTCTTTATTCTTGTTAACCTCACAAGAAAAAGTAGAACCATCATAGTAAGGGGTTAGGGAAGGATATGAAATATAAGCACAACCGTAAAAGTGACCAACTTGACCACCACACATATCACACACATTCCACACATAATATTGAGTTGGTGCACATAACTCGCTCTCAGAAATATTTTGATAATTTTGCCATGGGTAGTTTCCTCTATAATATGCATAAGGAGAATCAAAAGTAGAAGTACCAAAATCAAAATTCTCATAATTACAAGATGCCATTTTATCAAATCAATAGGTAAAATCAAAAAAATCAAATAAGACAAAAAAAAATAAAAGTTCAAACTTTAAACCTAGAAATATATGCACTTGCAGCTACACCATAAGTTCCCCGGCAACAACGACAAAATTTGATCACGCCCAACTCTGCTCCCAAAAAGGATAAGCGATCATAGCAAATATACTTCGGTCTAGAGACCAGAGTCGAATTCCATAGAGAAGTAAGGTTTAGCTATAATTGTTCACTATAACGAAGAAGACAAGCTTGAATAATTCCTAAATTATAAATATTAAGATTCTTATGTCAAACCAAATAACGACAAATTAAAATAGTAAATTAACAACTAAAGATACTAAGGGTTGGAGACAAGATTAAGGAGGTCTAGAGTTATGATTTTCTCAATTGTCGGAATCCCTCCCGCTACGGCTCCTATAAATTTGCCTAATTATTCTCTACTGATCGTGAGCACTTCAACAGTCGTAATTCTCTCCCGAGCAACTACTACAATTTACTAGACATATTCTCCCGAACTACGCTAGCCGGCACAATCTTACCGCTCTCTATGACCACGTCAAGGCTTTGTTATTCCTAAATCCACCATTAAACCTGCCGTATTGATTCTTCATATAGGTTATGAGTGATGTCGTTCCACAACTACCTAAATATGTACCATTTTCCCAAGAAATACATAATAAATAGGCACAGTCAACTAATGGCCATTCAATCAACAGAAATAAGCACGTAGTTGAACAAGTAAAGAAATTCAAAGGCTAAATTATATTCAAACTTAACAAGAATTCATCCTCCAAAAAGTTCCATCAAAACCCTGAATAATAAATTAGCTACTCACAGTAGTATGTGAAAATACAATACTAAAATTCAGAACCGACTATAGAAAACAGGAAGAAGAAAGGAAAAACTCGTGGTTGGATATTCCTCCTTGCTCCTAGTGTATTCTTTCCTCCAAAAGTGTTGTGTAACCCTAAAGTAGTGTCTTCTCCTCCAAAGTTACATTTTAGGATGTATTTATATGACCTAAGCAGGGTGAAGGGTCGTTGAATACAGTCCAATCTCGGATAGGAGAGTTGGAATCCGCGTCTGCCTTCGCGCGTCGCGCACCATAGACGTGGATTCAGCTTTTGTAATTTTCTAGTTCGTGAAGCGATCTGTGCCTTTGCTTCACTTTACTGTTTTGTGTCTTCAGTTTTCTTCTTTTTCGCATCCATTTTCATGCTGCACACAAGATTGGATGAGCTCCCAATTCTTTTCATCTCTTTCTGTTTGTGTCAAATTGTCATCTTTTGATCATTTATCATTCAAACTCGTTCCTACACATAATGAGCATATTTCACTTCAAAAACCACGTAATCTCCCGCGACTCACACAAGAATTAATAAGCAAATATACTAAAAATATGCACTTTTCATCATTTATCAATTAACTTAACTCAACTTAGTGTAAATATCTGGTGCAAATAAATTTTTTCATTTTTACCCTTGCGAATAGTCGCATTAACACTCTACGCCTTTTCATTCATATGCTATGCACTAGTCGTTCTTCTTAACTTATCTGTAGAGTTAATTTTTGAGAAGTCTTGTGTGTGTTATTACAATAATGCCATAAGATCCTAGAAATAAATTTGTGGTACGTAGTACTATGGACTATCAAACCTAAGTGGGCCTTGTCAACACTAAAAATGGGAGGGGTGAACTACTTTTCTTTTCGACATTCTTTGAACAACGATTCCAAAAAATCCTTGACGCGAATGAGCGAAACCGTCCAAGAAAACTGACACCATACGTTAAACCATTAAATAAAAGAAGACGTTATATTGACTAGCTAGGGCGCTACTCTTTCCTAACCCCACAATAGACGCAACCCTCTCCTACCCAACGCCCCACATGCCCTCAGCTTTATTACATAACTACAACTTTATAGATAGTATATTTCATCATTTGCAACTAGCTATTGATTTACATATTATACAATATCATTATCTTAATTTATATAGTTAATATATATTTAAATTAAAAGAATTTCTGTCTCCCGACATTATTCAACATATACTAAATGAAGATTCCAAAATTGTAGCAAAATTTAATAGAATTCTTAACATTCCCTAAATTTAAGCTTAAGCAAATTGACTACAATCAAATTTTCCTAAAATAACTCTACATCCCTAAAATTAGGCCTAACCAAATCTACCCCAATTCAAATGCAGCTATTCAAAAATAGGTGAGAGATGTACTATATAATATAGGAGTCAAATATAATAAAAGTAAGAAATCTGTTATAGCATATTTATCTTATACTATTATATTATATTTGCATAATCCTTACAATATACTATATAATGTTTATATGAAATCTGTTATAGTATATTCATTGTATACTAATACATCGGTAATCCAACATATCATCCCTAACAGTTTCAGCATAATCATGAATAGAAAACTCATTATTAATCAGGTTATCAATGATTTCTTCAATTATCAATTCAATTATGAGACTTTGTAGGTGTCTATTTAATCTAACAACTTTAAGGATAGTAATTAATAATTCTTCATCGAGAAAAGTCGTATAGAAAATCATAATCAGTCTAGGTATTCCAGGGATAAAAAATCCGGAAGGGAATTATCAATTCCTTTTTTGTATTGAATTTCATAATGACCAGTAAAGATTCGAAATATACGGGAATTTTATTATAGTTTTAGTGACTGTATGAAAGAATCTATCCTTTTACTCAAGCAAGGGGCCTATCTAGATCCGATACATACTCTTATTGAGTCCATGTGTCTAGCAGTTCTAACTGTGAAAGTGATAGCCCTTTTAACAACTTTAGCGGACTTTAATGTCACAGCTGACTAGACGTAGCCACTAAGGCAAGGCCAATAAGAGTAGTACCAGAGTCGACTGTACCACAATCTTGGAACCAAGCCAAGAAACTATATTAAAATTCCTTTATATTTTGAAAGAGTCTGGATTCTTCATGGTTAATATGCAAGAGAAATTAGTTCTTCAACATAGATATGAAAACGCTTAGCCGGACATAGTCACGGCAGTGGAGAGAAACAAAGTAATTTAAATACTATACAATAAAATAAAAATAAACAAATACCTTTAAGGTCGGGACGCAAGGCCCTGAAGATGATGAACTAAACTTCGAAACTTTTATTTCCTTTAACAGATTGGGTTGAGTATTAAAATATACTGGATCTATGTACAGTACAGTGGGTCCCTTATGCGGGTCCCTTATACAGTATATTTACTGTGTATACAGTGTATCTACTATGTATACAGTGTTTCTACTGTTGTAGTGTATATTTGTTCAATTTTTTTCTAAATAATAGATATGATCTGTACGATATAAATCAGTTAAAAACGGAGAAATTTCTGTCCATTCTTTGTATAACTTAAGAAATGACTCAGGCAAGATCTTTGTTGTGGGGCCGTGATATGACCACCAGTTCAGAAACCAATTAGGGATAGCTCCTGCAAATATTTTTGCACATATTTTAACAAACCAAGTGTGTTTATGTCTATCATTGTTATAATATAATACTCTATCGAATGCCTGGATATAATCCCAGTAAGTAAAATTCATGGGTGATTTATTAAGGCTTATCTGTCTCTCTTTCATTGTGGATATCCCCCATTCTTCAACAGATATAGTCTGCTTGATAATAATTTTTGAGAAGTTATAAACGTTCTCACTGGTGTTATAACCAGAAAAGTGCTGGAATTTTGCACTACCTGTGCTGATGAGGATGGTCTCATAATAAGCGCGGGTTTTATATGATTCACCTATGTAGTATAACCCATTAATTAGGTATCTCTGGAATATCTTCCATGAACTCAGTCTCAGAATAAGTATAATCAGAATCTGATCCGGAAGTGTATAACAAGTTATAAACTTTGTCACGTAACCCATCATCTACTTCTAAGGCCTTTAGCTTTTGAAGCTTGCAATTTGGAGCGATATGCCCAAATTCTCCACACTTATAACACTTAATATCAATGAGATCTCTCTTTGATCTATTCTTCGTAAATCGAGTTGATTTCCGATGCGCTTTTCTAGTATCGTGCTCTTCCTTAGACCTATATCTAGACCTCTTTTTCTTATACGGGCTATCAGGGTTGCGGTAGTCCGCACGACTATCCAGATCTAGCTGTTTCAGTACCTTTGAAGGTTGGCGGTAGTCCGCACGACCAGTAAAAATTCGAAATATACGGGAATTTTATTATAGTTTTAATGACTGTATGGAAGGATCTATCCTTTTACCCAAGCAAGGGGCCTATCTAAGTTCGATACATACTCTTATTGAGCCCATGTGTCTAGCAGTTCTAACTGTGAAAGGGATAGCCCTTTTGACAACTTTAGCGGACTTTAATGTCACAGCTGGCTAGACGTAGCCACTAAGGCAAAGCCAATAAGAGTAGAACCAGAGTCGACTGTACCACAATCTTGGAACAAAGCCAAGAAACTATATTAAAATTCCTTTATATTTTGAAAGAGTCTGGATTCTTCATGGTTAATATGCAAGAGAAATTAGTTCTTCAACATAGATATGAAAACGCTTAGCCGAACATAGTCACGGCAGCGGAGAGAAACAAAGTAATTTAAATACTATACAGTAAAATAAAATAAACAAATACCTTTAAGGCCGGGACGCAAGGCCCTGAAGATGATGAACTAAACTTTGAAACTTTTATTTCCTTTAACTGATTTACAAAATAAAGAAGCTAAGATGCTTAAAAGACTTTACAAGAGAGAAAGAGAGAGAGAGAGATTCAATAGAAAGAGAGGGGAATTTTCTGATGCCTCTCCGAATGAGAGAGGGCTCCTACTTATAGGAAGAGAAAAAAAAACATAAGGAATCTATGTACAGTACAGTGGGGTCCCTTATGCGGGTCCCTTATACAGTGTATTTACTGTGTATACAGTGTATCTACTATTGTAGTGGGGTCCTGTTATGGAGTCCTTCGCGGCTTCACTATTTTCCACTATTTCTTTCTTCTACTTTGTCCATCGTTTAAAGGAAATCTTCCACTTCTTTGATTTTTTTATCCCACAATATCCTTTCTGTCATCATAGGTTCAGAATCTTCCTCTACATCATCGTTGCTTGTTTCACTTTGCATCGATGTGTCTGATTTTTTACATTAGCTTAAAGTTTGAAGCAAATTTCTTTTCACTTCTTCCAGATATTGGTTTATTAAATCAGTTTTATCTCCATCTTGAATGGAGATTCTCCTAGCAATATGCTTGACTGAGCTATCATCAAATATTTTCTTCTGGTGAGTGGTCGCGTATAACTGGATCTGTACTTTAATGGAATCCAATAATTTTTGACCGTATAATAATTTCGTTTTGGGATCATTCTTCATTAACTTATCCCAAAAATTATTGTAAAAGACCCTATATAAGCAAGATATTTGTTCTTCAGTAAACCCCAATTCGAGGGTCCATTTATGAATCCGCGGAATAGAGAACTCAATGAAGAAGTATATCTGATTAATTTTTTCTAAATAACAGATATGATCTGTATGATATAAATCAGTTAAAAACGGAGAAATTTTTGTCCATTTTTTGTATAACTTAAGAAATGGCTCAGGTGGGGCCGTGATATGACCACCAGTTCAGAAACCAATTAGGGATAGGTCCTGCAAATATCTTTGCACATATTTTAATAAACCAAGTGTGTTTATGTCTATCATTGTTATAATATAATACTCTATCGAATGCCTGGATATAATCCCAGTAAGTAAAATTCATGGGTGATTTATTAAGGCTTATCTGCCTCTCTTTTATTATGGATATCCCCCATTCTTCAACAGATATAATCTGCTTGATAATAATTTTTGAGAAGTTATAAACGTTCTCACTGGTGTTATAACCGGAAAAGTGCTGGAATTCTGCACTACCTGTGCTGATGAGGATGGTCTCATAATAAGCGCGGGTTTTATATGATTCACCTGGGTAGTATAACCCATTAATCAGGTATCTCTGGAATATCTTCCATGGTTCATCCTTTCGCTGAATCTTAGAGTTTTCTAAAAGAAATATTATTTCTTTCTTTGGTAGTTTTTCGTAGGACTTGATATCATCGTTGTCCTCTTCTCTAGCGATTGAAGCAAATGTATTACTTTGCTTTTTGGCGGCCAACTATACCTATAGATGACCGTATAATGGATTATCTTCTGGAATATCATCCAGATGTATAGACGGACCTACTAATGACTCTCCTTTATGAAATTTCTTAGAGTTTATTAAACTTTTTTTTCCCGTTTGTATCACCGGAGAACTTGATGAGGATCCGTATGACGATCCTTGAGAATATGATTTACTAGGGGAAGATCTTCCCCTACCTCTGCCTCTGGTGGACCATGAAGGGTCCATTCTGCACAAATAACAAGTCAATTTATTCTGAGAAGTAATAATCCAACATATCATCCCTAACAGTTTTAGCATAATCATAAATAGAAAATTCATTATTAATCAGGTTATCAATGATTTCTTCAATTATCAATTTAATTATGAGACTTTGTAGGTCTCTATTTAATCTAACCACTTTAAGGATAGTAATTAATAATTCTTCATCGAGAAAAGTCGTATAGAAAATCATAATCAGTCTAAGTATTCCGGGGATAAAAAATCTGGAAGAGAATTATCAATTCCTTTTTTGTATTGAATTTCAAAATCAAAAGGCGCCAGTTGAGCTTGCCATCTAGCAAATATTAATTTAGACGCATCATGTTTGAAATCTTTGTCAAACATATATTTAACAGATTTAACATCAGTTTTTATTAAAAACTTTTGATTATATAAATCGTCTTGAAATTTTAAAACACATTTAACAATAGTTAACATTTCATGAGCCACAATAGCATATTTCTTCTGGGCTTCGATCCATTTACCAGAGTGAAATCTTATCAGGTATTCACTCTTATTGTTGGGATTCACTTGCTTTAAAATCCCACCGTAGCCAACGTTGGATGCATCTGTCTCAATAATTTTTTGTCATGTAGGATTAGCAAGAGTTAAGCAAGGTAGAGACCTAACATGTTGTTTAATACTTTTGACTAACTTAGTATGCTGGTAAGTCCAAGGCTGCCTATGATCCTTTTTCAGCCTGTCGTACAGAGGGGCTAGATCACGAGATAAACTTTTGTAGAAAGGAGATATATAATTCAAACTTCCCAAAAATCTTTGTAATTGAGTCCTGTCAGTAATAACATCAGGAAATTTTGAAGCAAAATCAATCGCTCTTTGTATCGGGGTAATTTTTCCTTGGCAAATATTATGGCCTAAAAATCGAACATTGGTTTGGAATAGACTCATTTTTGGTTTAGAA